CCCTGCCCCGCCAGCAGCGCCAGGTGCGGGCCCTCACCGACCGCTACCACGCCGTGGGCGACCAGCTGGACCTGCGGTGAGTGGCCGGGCGGCCGGGCTCGAGGCGCGCCCCCACCCTGCGCAGCAGCTGCGGCTGATCTTGGGCTGGTGACTGCACCTCTCTGAGGCTCAGGGTCCTCGCCTCGAAAATGGGGTAATAGCAGCCCCTGCTCCCCACGCCCCGGGGTGGTGCCTGGCAGACTGTGGGGTCCATCTGTGCAGGCCCAGCTCCAGCACAGGGCCAGCGTCAGGGGACCAGCATGGTGGTCACCCCGAGCCCCCTTCCTGTCCCCAGAGGGCAGCTCTCACCTGCTCCGGCCTCGTCCTCCGCAGGGAGAAGACGGTGCAGGATGCGGGCCTCACCTACCAGCAGTTTAAGAACTGCAGGGACAACCTGAGCTCCTGGCTGGAGCACCTGCCCCCCAATCAGATGCGGCCGAGCGACGGGCCCAGCCAGATCGCCTACAAGCTGCAGGCACAGAAGGTGAGGAGGCCGGGGGCGGGACAGATCCCTGCCCAGAGCTGGGGCCTCAGCCACATCCGCCTCCCTGGCAGCCTCTCCCACTGGGAGAGCCGCCTGGAGGGCTGGTGCCCGGAAGCCCCCACAAAAGCCTTGGGCCAGCACCACCCCACACCCCAAAAATGCTCTGCTTTCCCCCAGGAACAGCCAGCCCCTGGCTGTCTGGCCCGAGGTGGGCTGTGGGCGGTGGGCTCTATGCTCCTGGCATCACAACTCCCACTGCATCCTCCTCCTCCCGGTTGCCCCTCCCACGCACTGGCCATGAGCCCGGGGCTGGGGGACAGCGCGGCCCTGGGCAGCTCAGGCGGGCGGGAGGCGTGTGTCACAGGCCATGGTGCTGTGAGCGCTTGGAGGAGCCAGGGCCCTGGGAGCCCTCGGCGGGACACTGTGGGTCAGGGCGAGTGGCCTGGAGCCTGAGGAACAGGCCGGGAGGGGTGAAATGTCTGAGCCCCGGCACGGTGGGTCTGGGGAGGGAAAGGC